ACAAGTTCTTTTGGGGGGCGGGTGTTGTATGAACATTAAAATTTGAGAAGCACTACTATATTGGTTTTCTAGGGCTGCTTACCAAGTAGCACAAACTGGATGGCTTGAAACAACAGACCTGATTCATACTTTCAGAGTCTAAGATCAAGGTGTCAGCAGGATTGATATCTCCTAAGAGCTGAGGGAGAATTTGTTTCATGCCTGTCTCCTTACTTCTGGTGATTGATGACAATCCTTGCCATTCCTTGAATTATAGCATAGCTTCATTTTTTTCCTCCATCATCACATGGTATTTCCCCTGTGCGTGCCTCTGTTCCAAATTTTCTTCTTCTCATAAGAACATCAGTCATATTGAATTAAGGCCCACCCTACTCCAGTATGACCACATCCTAACTAGATAATACTTGCAAAGATCCTATTTCCAATTAAGATTACATTCTGAGATTCTAGTTTAGGACTTAGGTCTCTTGTCTCTCTTAGTCTCTCTCTCTGTGTGTGTGCATGCTCACACATGTAGGAAGGGGGTACAAGTAATCCATGATGTCCTCAGAGTCTGTCATTCCTAAATGCTGAGAGACCAGCTTATTAGGACATACCTGGGTCATTTTTGCAAACAACTTGTAAATTGAGGAAAAATATGGCACATCTTCTTGGGGATGTCTATCTTTGCAATGTGATTCTTGTCCAGATAACATACCCCACAGGAGCCTCATTTGCAGGATCAGTGTGAGAGCTAGCTGGGGAGATTCTCCTTCTGGTTGCCCACTAGAATTACTGAAGCAGCCTTAGAGCTACCGACACCTAACCCCTGCCCCAGATTCTGAGATAGCTGATTTTTCTCATTGTCTGGCCAACAGGATTCTAACACCTTTGTCGCATGCAGCCAGGTTTGAAGATCAATGGGATCAATGTTCTCATTTTCCCACACAGAGAAGCAGCACATTAGCACAAACAATCCCAAATAGACATTTTACAGTTCTTTTGTGCCAAATGAGGGCCAGAGAAGTAAATGAATACATGTATCTAGCACTGTTCTCAAAATCTCACTTTAGTGGACTTGCTTATTTCTCCTCGAAATTTTACCAAGTTTTGAACAAGAGTGAGGCATTTTCACTTGGTACATATAAATTTAAAACAATCTCTTCTTAATAAATAGATTATTTCTCAAAACTAGTTATGGTTCTACCACCCCAGTGGTACTTTTCACCCAAAAGTATTCTTTCCCTTTGACAGAGGCACAGATACATTGGAAAAGTTTCCTTTGCCCGGTGTCTATACAACATATCAATACATTTACTTTTGTCATGGATAATCAGCCCTCAGAACACCTTAACCCCATACATATGTGTTTTAGATGAGTCTTTAGAATGGAATGTAGTTGGATTTAGAAAATTTTTACTCTGACAATAATACTGTACGCGCTTTGTAAATTAGCTCTTTTATATTTAATATAACTACTGACATATATTCATGTTATAAAGACTGAGCAAATAAGGGTACTTTGTGGAGGTTGCAGTTCTCACAGATGACCATGAGAGGGCGCCTGCGGGCGACCCATGTGCATTCCCACTCTTAAAGGGACAGATGGGAACCGGGCTTCTGCTCTGGGGGTTGGGTCACAGCTTCCAAGCTGTACATCCTCTTTCTTTGGGCATTCTTTGCCCATGGGAAGAACAAGGACATGGGGTGAACTGGGGGACAAAATAGCTGTCCAGACCTCATGCCTGTCATGGGATGAGGTAACTGAAGGCATTCAGTTAGGGAAGAGCCATTTGCCAACTTCAATAGGAAATTTTCAAGATCTTACTAACCAGTGCAAGCCCTTCAGAAAGATGCCAGCCTGCTTACCTATTTGGGTTTAAATCTACCACCTTATTGTATCTGTAACACCTGTGTGTTGTGTTGGTTTTTTCTCTCCTTTCTTGTTGTCCTTACTTTTGTCCTGAGATTTTTACACACACCACACATCTCACAGTTTGTAAGTGGAAATATTTTTTTTTTTGTGAATATTGTCTAGAAACTACCTCATGCATCTTTAAATTTTCAAGGCCTGTTACTAGTCAATACATTTATTTTCCCCCTTGACAACAACCAAGGGCTTCAGAACGCCTTAATTCCATTACCCTCAACCAGTACTACTCATTATTATGTATCTGACTGCACATATTTCTTAAATCACTAAGGCATTTTTATTCTATTGCTTTTTTGGGTCATTTCACAAATTTATTTTTCTTTATTTTTTCCCTACCACCATTCTTTCTTTATTTTTTTTTCTGGTGGGGACGGTGTTTATTAATATTGACCACCTTTGCTTTTCATAGCTTCTTGCAGTTTTATGCTAGTCTGGGTTTATTTTCATTTTGCATAAAGCAATCCTTTATTGTTACCGAGGCTCTACTTTTTGTAAATGTTTTTATTTTTTCTCCATTCCTAAAAGATGTCCCCCTGAGGATGCAGTTTCTTTCAGGTGACAATCTCATTTCCTTACTGCTGCCTGGGAATGGACCATCAGCTTGTTACTCCAATAAAAGTAATATGCCTTCTTCCCTTACCTTGGCTGCTTTTTATTTTTCTTCATCCTTCTTCATCTGGCTGAGTATAGAACTTTTTCTTTTCTTCTTTTTTTAAAGATTTATTTATGCATACAGAACTGGGATACAGGCCAGAGGTGCAGGGGTGGTGAGAGGATTCACCAGAGACAGAGTGGGGAGCAGAACAGGCCAACTGATGAAGCACACTGCTGAGGGGAGCCGCGGGCGGGTCAGGAGAGGTCTGCCGCGCCATGTGGGTCAGCTCCGGGGCAGGGATCGAACTCATGCTGAAGTGGTTTTAGCTTCTTAATGCTTCGCTTTAACCTGCTGTGCAACCAGGGAGGGCCCAGTGTAGAAGTTTTTAATTCACTCTGCTTAAAATCTGTTGAGCTTCTGGTTTGGTATTTGTATTTCTGAAAAACCCTCAGCCATTCTTCAGCCTCTCTATTCTTTCTCTTCTTTTTCTGAGGCTCTGATTAAATGAATGTTAGACCTTCTCACAAAATTTAACCACCCTTCTGCACTGCCAGTCTTTCTTCATAGGATCATTTTTTCAAATCTACCTTTCACTTCATTAACATCTTTTCAGTTGTATCTAATTAGCTGTCAAACCACACCCAATAATTTTGGTTATTATAGTTTTCATTTTTAGTTCTACTTAACAATTTTTGTGTGTGTGTTTTCCTATTCCCTACTGTTATCTTCAAATATGATGTGAAACTGTCTTAATCTATACGACTTACTTCTTTTAAGAAATTGTGGCTGGTAATTCAAATGCCTGCTGTCGTTGAGGGTCTTTTTCTTTTGTCTGTCATTCCTCTTTCTTCTCATTTGTGGTGTTGGTGTCTAGTTATCTTTGGTTATGTGCTAGCTATTGTACAGAAATTATCTGAAAATTTATTTTAAAACGAGGATGAACAGATCTTTCTCTACATAGGATTTGACTTTCACCTAGGCAATGTGTGAGGTCGCTGGAAGGCTAACTGAACAGCATTTCAAGCTTCAGTTACTTGGGAGCACTCACCTTTGGGGTCTCAGCTTATTATGGGGAGGCTCCGTCATTACATTCCCACTCTGAGTGACCTGAGATGTTCATTTCTGTCTCCTTTTCCCTTACTGAGCTATCAAAACCGATTTTCAAATTTTCTGGACTGCACAATTACTCTCAGGGAAAGGTTGCTTTCCCTCTCCCCCATTTATCTCTTTGTGCTTCCATTCCTCATCGTTCTCTTCCTGTTCATTTCTTACTGCCACACTCTTTGATGACTTTGAAGTTTATCATTATATAAAACAAGTTTTTGTCTTCTGTGGAAGAGTTGGTCTAAATAATTAGCCCAGTATGGCAATAGGATGCTATGTAATTTCTCTCTTGGTACTTTCTCTCTTAGCACTTAAAAAATGACAACTGGGGCCCTCCCTGGTGGCGCAGCGGGTTAAAGCACAGCATCGAGAATCTAAAGCCACTTCCGCATGAGTTCGATTCCCACCTGCCCCAGAGGTGACCACATGGCGTGGCAGACCTCTCCTGACCCGCCCGCTGCTCCCCTCAGCAGTGTACTTCATCGATCTGCCTGTTCTGCTCCCCACTCTGTCTCTGGTGAATCCTATCACCCTCCACATCTCTGGCCTGTACCCCAATTCTGTATGAATAAAAAAATAAATCTTTAAAAAAAAATGACAACTGGATTAGTAGAATTATAATTTCCCAAACATGCCTGTGTGCATTTGCAAAACCTACCTCCTATGCTCAGAATGCACAGAATGCCCACAACTACAATTTGATAGGCTCAGAACAAATGTTACCTTTTCTTCAAAATGTTTCCTGTTTTCCCTGTCTCCCCAAATCTGTATTCTATCTCTTTCCCCAACTAAACACTCACAAAACCTGGTCTGCATCATTTATGAGTACATAACTAGACAGAAATATATTTATATATACTAATTTATTTGGACTTTGTCTTTTCTGGTATTTGATGAATCCCCTACTTCCCTCCCAGCTCAGCATATGTTAATTATAAACTGATTTTTGGAAAATATTACATGTGGTACTTATAGGTCTGATTCCTTGAGGGGGTTCTCTAAACACATTGCCAGGACGCAGTTCATCCTCACAACCACTTACAATTGCACGGCACTTCAGAATAAGCCAGTGTACCCACAAACACACCTCCCGCATCGGAGCCATGAAAAACAGAGGAAGAGAGAGATCAGACAGCAACTCTGAGCAGAGCACAAAGCCAGAATCAGAACCCGAGTCATCCAAGCTCAGAGTTGAAGTGGGATACCATGGCTGCCTCCCCATATTACTTGAGCCACAGTCCTCCCCTCCTGTCGACATCCAGACCTCTGAAAGCAGACATTCTGTATGCACAAGTACGTGTTGTTCAGGAGTTAGATCGCAAGCCGTAGAGAGAGGGTTTGACCGTGTGAGTACCCCCCACACACCCGTCAGGTGAAGGTCCGCCTTACCTGACAACCTTGGTCCCATTTCTCACGACCTGCATGTCCACCATGCAGCCTCCAGTAACATAGGCAGCCAGATTCAGTTCAGAGAATTCAGCCTGAAGGAGAGAGCAAAATATAAACAACCAAACACCAATGATGCAAATAAAGACTAACTTTCATTGAGTTCTTATAAATGTGCCCAATACACAATTATACCACATCTGAAACTTAGGAAGTTGTAGTATCATTTCTCTCTCTTTTTGAAAGACAAAGAAGCTGAGTTGCACGGTGACATAATTAACAAACAGCAAAGCTGGACTGAAATGTACACATCTCTGACTTAAAGACCTATTCTTTTAAATACTACTAATATCTATCTCCTTGAAGGAAGCATCAACTTTTGCTCCCTGACTATATGAAGCAAATACTGTTGAATACAGCATTTCCTCCCCAGTTCTTCAGCTTCACAGAGGGATGGGAAAGCATCAGTGACATGACCATGTATCTCTCTCAAGGGAAGCCTGGGTCATCTGCCGTCTGGGCCATCGCCCTGGTTACAGCAGGAGCACCCTGTGTGTGCACTGACATACTGCTTCCCACAGTGGATGGGGCTGTGGGGAAATAAGATGCCTTTCCATGAAGACTGGAAACTGCCGAGTGATTCATGCAATTGCTTTCTAGGTGGCTGTACCATTAGTATACAAACATGGGTGTGATGGGGGGGGAGGGCTGTGTTTTCTACCATCTGGTTTGGGAAAGCAGAAAACAGGGTGGAGAGAGAGAAGGGAGAAGGAGGAGAGAGAGAAGCAGGAGGAGGAGGGAGAGAGTGAATATAATCACCCAGGGGGTAGGCAGAGGCAAGAGATGAGACGTACTCTTGCTATTTGTGTGCAAACTACAATCCTGCCTTTGGATTTTATGGCTGCTCTATATCCTTAAAGTTCATCTTTCTGTGGGCATATTTGTTTAAGCAAGCTTTAGTGAATTTCATTTGCTTGTAATCAGAATTGTATGGAATATATCCCTCCTACGAAGTTATATGCTCATGGGGATATGGATTCCACGCTATTATCATCTGTATTAATTTCCAAGGGTTGCCATAACAAACACCACCACTAGGTGGCTTAAGCAGCAAAAAACTATTCTCTCAGGTGCAGGTAGTTAGAAGTCCAAAATCAAGGGGTTGGCAGGGTTATGAAGGAAGGGGCTCTTCTCCTTGGCTTGTAAATGGCCTCTTCTATGTCTCTTCATATCACCCTCTGTGTGTGTGTGTGTGTGTGTGCGTGTGTGCAAAGTTACCCTTTTTCTAAGGACACCATTCATGCTGGATTAGGACCCACTCTAATGACCCGACTCTGTGAGATACTATCTCCAAATAAAGTCACATTCTCAAGTGCTGGGGGTTAGGGCTTGAATGCATAGATTTGGGAAAGATACAATCCAGCCTATAACCCCATCCGAAAAAGTGCATAGTGCCCAACTGTCTCATACACAGTAGATGCTACAGTTATTTCTTTGGATTTAATCAATAATAATAATAATAAAAGCTACATGTATGAAATAATCACTGCCTGCCAGCTGCTGTCCTAAGCACTTTATGTGTGATTTCATTTAATCCTCACGTTTGTGTGTATGCTTCTCTCTGGGGCAGAGAGAGGTTAAAGAGTGTGTACACTGTCACACAGTAAGGAGAGGCAGGGTTGAAACCCAGGCAGTCTGGCTCCTGCCAGTGCTTTAAACTGCTGCACACACACCCCACCCCCTGCTGCTTAGCTGAATAAGGCATTAGGTGGATTACAACTGGGAATTTAGGAACCTAAAAAAAAAAAAAACCATTTAAAGAGAAAAACAAGTTTACATTGAAGGGAAATGTAATTTTGCAGTGATTTAAATGCATCCCCTTGGAATCATTTAACAGGAATTATGACCAAAGACCTAGCTATTTCCCCAGATGGTATTAAAACAACCCAGAGTGCTTATGTCTTTGCTCTAATTAATAACCTCATTATGCTGTGGCAAGGTGAAATGAAAAGAGCCCTGTTAATGAGTCCAGGTTAGTAAACAGTGGTAATGACCTAGTTATTAAGTCTAACACCTTAAAAATTCAGCCCCATCATGTTTCAGATACTTCATTGGCAAGGTTACAAAGAAGAGTTAGCAGGAAAAGCTGTTGCTAGAGTGTAAAGTGAAAAAGAGTCAGGAGAAAGTTGCAACACAGCAACTTGCTGGGCCCCAAATAGATGAAGCAAGGGAGTGACGGCGACTCTCGGGTGGTGGAGTCTCTAAGTCAGGGTTGGGAAAGCCTGGAGCTGGGTTGCTGCTCCAGTGGAAAGAGAGCTGGTTCCTGGGTAGGAAGGTAGTCCAGGCTCGGCTCTATGGGTTACAAGTTCATCTTGCTCAGATCAGGGTGTGGAGAATCACTTCCCAATCATGGTTCATGAATAATTACAGCCAATAAATGTTCCTGTGCAAGGTGGGTTACAAGCAGAGAGAAATGGGGTGGCGAAGAGATGTCCTTCTGTGTTTAGCTTTCCGAAAACTTCAGCAGTCATGAAAATGAACACAGATGTGTCACTTCTCTTTCATGCTAACCCTCCTAGAATCTACAAGAGCTGTCATTACTGTGTTCTTATAAAAACTGCAGTGGTTTGAAATGCGTCTTCCTCAAAGACACATCACATCCTAACTCCAGACACCTGCAAATCTGACTGTCTTTGTAACTAGGGTTTTTGCGAATGCAATTAAGGATCTAAAGATGAGATCATCCTGGATTAGGGAAAGCCCCAAATGCGACGGACGGTAAGTCCTGATAAAAGAGAAGGGGAGACAGAGAGACAGGGATGGTGGAGGCAGACTGGAGTTACACTGACAAAAGCCAGGGGCAGCAGAAGACACTAGAAGCCGTTCACCCTCTAAAATCTTCAAAGGGAGCAGAGATTGGGCAATACGTTGATTTCATATTTCTGGCCTCCAAAACTATGAGCTGATAAATTTCTGTTGTTTTAAGCTGCCAAGTCTGTGGTAATTTATTACAACACTCCTAGGAAACTAATAAGGTACTCTGGGGAACTGAATGGAATTTCAATACTGCATGCGAATGTGTCAGGGTTCAAAGACTGATATGGTTCTATAGGGTCCTTTATCCAGCTCACCAGACACATACATCTATGTGTATGAGTATACATTCCCCCCCCACACACACATGAAATACACTGGCTATTCTCCTATATTTGTAAAACATTATTATCAACGTCACTTACGTTTTCTCGTAAGTTGATCTTTTGACCTCAAAAACATCTTGGCCTACCTGGTTTTAATGTAATATATTTTCAATGCTACACATTCAAATGTAAGCTGCTCGAGATACTAGCTGGTGGAGGTCAAGTTACTGTTTTGAAGCTCAGTTCTCCATTCTGACATCTCTAAAATGGAGACAATAGTATCAATGACATCCACCTTGAAAGATCGGAGAGTCAAGATAATATACATGAAACACTAATAATAGGACAGAACATAGAAAATCAATGTCATATAGACAGTTGTCATTATTAACTTCAGTAAGAAATTAATTGTCTTAGTAAGAAAAACTGAATGTATAAAAATTATATAACGGCCTGGTGGCCAATTAGATTAAAGTGCAACACTATGAAGCTCTCTGCAGCCACTGCAGCATGAGTTCAAGCCCCAGCCAGGGGGCTGACCCACAGGGCATAGCAGACCTCTCCTGTCTCCCCACTTGTCTCCTCAGCAGGGTATTTCAGTAGATCTGGCTGTTCTGCTCCCTACTATGTCTCTAGTGAATCCTCTCAACCCCTGCACCTCTGGCCTGTACCCCAATTCTTGTATGCATAAATAAAGAAATCTTCTAAAAATTATATAACCAGAGAACAAACAACCCTTTCAACTATAACACATTTTAAACACTGAAGTATATAATACAGAGAGTATCTGCTTATGGCTACAGTGAAGTAACAGGGACTGTCTTTGCATTCTCATCTTAATCAACTAGAAAGCCAGACAAAATATATTAAGTAATAGTTTTCAGACATGGACAAACCATTGCAGAACGATGATCCCTGCAAGAAGGAAACAAACAAAATTATCACTGTGATTACCCCAGCTTACTACTGCCTGGACGCAGGCAATGTGGGAGAATGCCAACAGAGGTCAGCCATCTCACTGAGCTAAGGAGCCAGATATTAAAGTCCAAGGAGACCAAGGTAGCTAGAATTTGCAGGACAGAGCATAAATAAGATGCAACAGCACAGAAAAAGACCTCCGGGGAGATCTGCAAGTCTCTGAGTTCTAATCTGAGCACACATGAAATAAACTACTCAAGTCAAAGGAAACAACTGTCAGGAAACACACAAAGGACTGAGAATAGTTTGGACTTTCAGCAGCTGGACTATAAAGATTTAATAAAATGATTAGGGTCCTCAAATTTGGTAGTGAGATCTAATCAGCCCTGCATGTATTATGCTTTGGATCCCAGGAGGAACAAAGTGTGTTACTTTGCTTAGAGCTCTCCTGGTTTTCAAACTGAAAAGTCCCACTTCCCAGAAATCCCCCTAGCCCTGAAACTTTCATGCAGGGAGGAGCTCCTTCATACCAAGCAGATGGGGGTGATTAATCAGTGTCTCTGAATCTGTCCTAAGAAAAAATTAAGAGCATGCCCTGAAGGTATTAAGTTTATTCCAAGAAACTTTATTTCATCCCAGAACAAAGTACATTATTTAAAGTGGAACAAAGTCTAGCACCCGTCACATAAAATTCACTATGTAAAATTCATGATATTTAGTGATAGCTCATCAGGCATGCAAGGAAGCAGGAAACTATGACCCATAATAAGGAGAACTTCATAAGAACAGGTTCAGAAATAAGCATGAGATGGTAGGAAGAGCAGAAACTGAAGATAGAAACACTACTGTAAATGTGTTCCACAGTCTCGAGAATGTAGGCAGAAACAAGAAGAAATAAATGGGAAATAGAATTTCTTGAGACAGAAATGTAATGTCTGAAACGGGAAATGTCATGCATGGATTAGCAGCAGATTAAACACTGCAGAAGAAAATGCTAGTGAACCTGAAGACAAAGCAGTACCAAGTAATTAAATGAAGCCTAGGAATATACTGAAAAGAGAAAAGAACTTCAGTGAGTCATAGCACAATACCAATCAAATAGATGTGTAGTTGAAATACCAAAGTGAGAATGGGGGGAAACATAAAAAGAGATTTAAAGTGGCCAAAAGTGGGAGAGCTATAAATTAAACTCATGCCCAGTTCCAAGAACACAATGAATCTGTGCATGCACACACACACACACACACACACACGGGAAGAGGGACATGCTCAGTTTCCTGTAGGGTCTTGGGCTGCCTTCCTGCTGGGACTGGCGCCTGGCAAGGGGCAATGCCAAGCAGATAGTTAATGAAAGCATGAGGATATTCATGTCTATTTTCTAATCATTGCCTCTTTGATAATAATAATGCTGATGACAGAATGGAAAATGGCAATTACAGTCATCATTCTGATCACAAGCTGGAGGATGTGATTAGGCCAACAGATCAATGGGAAAGAAACTGAAATGGGGACCTGGCATTGGAGGGCTGCGTGGAATGTACACACGAAATCAAGAATGCATGGGAATGTGGAGGTAGCAGCTATCAGCCTTGACCATGAAGGAGGATTTCAACACAAAGAGATGTTGTCCGGAATTCCTGAGAAAGGCAAGATGCTGGCAGACAGATTGTTCTGGAATCCAAAAGTGGCTGATAAGATACTGGAAATTCCTGTCCGTTAATGAATACCTATCTGGTCCAGACTGTACCCTTAAACCTTCGGTGTTTTCCTTTACATGGCTTTGTATAGCCCAGGTATTTTGGAGAGAGAGAATCAAGCATTTCACAGGAGGTGGGCAGCCTCCAGTTTCTCTTCTAATGATAGACAAGTTCTAACCCTCTGTCTACTCTCTGACCTTTCTTTCTGCACCTCAATAAGAAAAACTATTCATCAACCAGTCAGGACATCATGCCACTACAGTAACAGCGGGCAGGGTCACTGCGGGGCTGAAAAGCCAGGCAGCCACAGGCAATTCTGGCAACTTCTCTGCATCTCAGTGTCGACCGCTCTGGGTGGTCATTGTGTTAACTTTCTCTCTGAGCTGGAGCACTGACCTCAGCGTCCATCATCTCATCTCCCATGAGGTGATGTAGTAAATTCTGATTCCCAAATGGTCAGATGTTGCAACAGGAGCTTTGTTGCTGGGGAAGGTGATGAGGACACAGCAGTCATGGAGCAGGTTTGCAAAGCAAGACACTGCTGCTTGAGCGGTTATTGTGCCATTTATTGAAAGCACACAGGCTAGTAAATGTGGTCATATGACAATGGTATGAAGAATGAAGTCTGGGGGTGGGGGGACAGGAACGGGGAACAAAGTTTTACAAGGGACAGGGAAGGGGACAGCGTGACTGTAAGTCAAGACCCATTTGCATCAGCAAAGTATGATGTTATCATGGGCAGAGTTATCCAAGGGCCGCCATGGACATAGTCATGTAATCCGGCCCACAGTGGCCTAGGTGTCCCCGGGCCTGCCTTGTGATACGAGCTCTGCTCCATATGCACTCAAGGAATGCTCTGCTGTGATTTGTGGATAATCGGTCATAGCTGCCCATGGGTGGCCAGCTCACAGGAACCCACAAACAGACGCTTTGTGTGGAATGATTTAGTAATAACAACATGTATTTAGGAAGTGACACTCATGGGTGAGATGGTACCTTAAGAGAGGGTAAGAGGCTGCACTGCTTCCGGAAGAGCCTGAGCAGAGGGGTGGGGCGATGGGGCACTCAAGCCCGCCCTGGTGGGCCTCGGCCACTGGCACTCAATGGCATTTCGACTCTCACTGGTTGTTCTTCCTTGTGTATCCTGCTACCTTAGAACCTGGAACAGGGCTGGTGGTGACTATCAAAACAGGAGTAGAGCATCTGAGTCATGTAGCTAGTTGTCATAAAAATTCCACTCCAGTCTCTCACAGATCATGTTTATTCTTGTGATGAAACTGTGTCATTAACAAATTCCTTAAAAACGTCAGTATTCTGGGCCCTCTCTGGTGGCACTGTGGGTTAAAGCACAACGCTATGAAGCTATAGCAGACACTACAGCACAAGTTCGATCCCCATATGGTGCAGCAGACCTCTCCTGAGCCCCCCACTGCTCCCCTCAGCAGTGTACTTCATCTATCTGCCTATTTTGCTCCCCACTCTGTCTGTGGTGAATCTTCTTACCACCCCTGCACCTGGCCTGTACCCCAGTTCTGTATACATAAATAAATCTTTAAAAATATATGTCAGCATTCTGCAGGCACTGTGATCCTCACACCTTAACTTCTTTCAGAGCCTCATAAAACCTAAGAGACTCACAAAAGGACAAACAGCAAAGGCAATAGTAATAGTAATAAATGTAGAAAACCTCAGTCATACATGGCCAGTAACACCCCACGTGACTTAGACCTTGGCAGTCTCTGTGACACTACCTCATCACGCCTCAGTTCTGACTCACTCTGCCATGGCCATCCTGGCCTCCTTTCAACAGTCAACCAGTTTGACCAAGCTCTAGCCCCCCAAATTGCAGGTACTAAGCACTTCCTAAGCAGGCAGCATGGGGGCTTCTTCCAGCCGCTCATCTGCTCATTGGCACCCCCAAAGGTGCTTCCCTGAAAAGCACGGGCTGAACTTTTCAATCCTTGCTCAGTTCTCAGGTTTGCGTCGCCATCTGACACTAATATTTATAGTGCATCCCAGTCAATATTTAATCGTCTGTCTCTCACTAGGACGGAAGCTCCGGGAGGTGGCAGGAGGCAGGCATTTAATGTTTTGTTCCCAGCACCAGGTGTACTGCACAGGTGTTCAGTAAACATCAATGAATGAAGAAAAGTCTATTTTGCAGGTGACAAAAGCGTGGCCCAATGAGTCCCAGTGACTTTGCTCAAAACCTCACCCCTGTAATGGTATCAGCAGGAACCCCAACCCAGGTAACCCTTCACATTGCACAGGGCTTGTTTGAGCTGACTTGGGTTCCAGTGCAGAGATGGGCTCCGTAGCAGCCCCTGGGCAGCCCCCAGGCATCGCCTGTGCCTCCAGCTGCCCTTCCCCACATCTTCTCCACTGTAGCTAGCAGATCTCAGCGAGGCCTATGGCCCCTCTCTCTCTCCCACCACCACCACTATGCCTCTTCCAGCTGCCCTGCTGCTGGCGAACACGTGCCAGGTGGCCCAAGGCCCACTGTCTACAGGATCTGTTTCCTAAAAACGGGTCATGTTTTTACTTCCAAGGGCCGGGTGGATTCAAGCAACTCCATGGCTCACATCTCAGGCCTGGTCTCTCTCCACCAGGGAAGCACCTTGCACCACAGACTCACCTAACAGTCCATGCCAGTGGAGGCAGCCCACTCAGAAGCAGTGCTGGGCACCTCTAGGCTCTGGCCACTGTGGCTCAGTAGGACTGAGCCAGTAGGACAGGACCCAGCTACTGTGGGCATATGATGCCCATTAAAAAATCCTGAGGACATTTAATGCGAGCTGCACTTCTAGCCTGCAGATGAGGGCAGCGGGAACCTCCAGAAACAAGGCTAGGTTTGAACCTCACACACGGAGACCCTGCTGTTGACTGCAGCTAGGCCCTAGGACTAGATGCTCAGAAAGACCGCAACTTGAGCGCTCAGGGCTAAATGCTGGAAGACTGAAGCAGGGCAGTGACCCACTGAGAGATGCATGCAGGGGTTGGGGTGGGCATATAGCTCAGAGAGTGAGGCTAAGCATCTCTGAGGGGACATCTGCATGAGGGAGCTGAATGCACTGAGGGTGAGTTGAGTGTTACCTGGAGGAAGTGAGTTCCTGTAGTGCCAGCAGGAAGAGCTGGTTTTCTGTGATCCGGCAGACAGGTAAAGGAGCTCTGGAGCCCTCGGTGGCTTTTTCAAGCTTTTACTGATCTTTCTACACCGTCTGTAGGGAGGCAGCCAGGTGAATGGCAGGTAAGGAGACAGGTGGGGGTTTGGGGAGGTTGGAGGCTGGCAGGCATCCAGCCTCTGGCGAACCTGCTCTCTTTCTGGGCTCTCTGGCTTCTCTCGCGGTCTCTCAGCTGCTCTCCACTGCACTCTGCTGCTCAGGCCTCCGCCCCTCGGGCCCTGCTGCCACGCTCAGTGCCCCTGGAACGCCGCCTCACGTGCTCAGCCTCCAGGCTCAGGTGCGCGCACTCACACACGTGCACACCACACTCCGTGTGCCGCCATCCCGCACTGCGTAAGGCCACAGGTGTTGATAGGAGGCGCTAACCACGGGCGGGCGGAAACCTGGCCGCGTCCATTTACCCTATACTGTAGGGAGGAGGAGTGTGTGCTTGCTTGAGTTTTTGCTGTGGTTTTCATTGTGTCAAGCACAGCCAACATAAAAAATTTCTCATTTTCACCACTTTTAAGTATATGATTGAGTCCATTCACGTGGACTCTCCTGAACATGTTTGTCATTTCCAACAAAAACGTTGGTAGTCATTAAAGAAGACTCTCGACTTCCCATCCCTGCTCGCCATGAGTATCCACCAGGCTAGGACCACTGAATTTGCCTCTAGATTCCTCATATAAATGTAACCAGGACCATTTGTCTTCTCATGGTTCACTTATTTCACTGAGCATAAAGGTTTCAGGAATCATTTCTGTTGTAGTCTGTGTCAAAAGTCTCTTCCTTTTTGAAGACTGAGTAATATTCCACCGAGTGGGCAGACCCCCATTTTGTTGACCCTTTCATCTGTCAGTGAACACGTGGGCTATTTCTACCTTTAGGCATGGTGAACAATGTTGTTATAAAGGTGAATGGCTTGCCCATAGCTTCACAGTTTACAAATTTCTATTAGAGTCTCTGCTGTCAATTTTTTTAGGCCCTTACTCAGAGATGGGTCACTTGGTCATAGGGTACTTCTATCCTTCATGTTTTCAGGAACTGCAGACTTGATGTGCAAATTTTTCAAGGTGAGTACACTATTTTGCATACCTACCACCAAGGAACAGGAGTCCTGATGTCTCCACATCTTCTCCCACACTCCTGATTTTCTGTTTCTTGCTTATAAGGAACAGTGAAAGGTTGGCAGAAATGGATCACATGACTGACTTGGCATCCACATGACAGACAGAAGGCCAGAGAAATCTAGCTTTGCAGAGCCTGTGGCTTCAAGAAAGACAGCTTATAACTCAGAGTGAGACGTGGAACCTTCGGGAGATATGAGCTGTGGAAGATCACGACTCAGTTACAAAAAGGAACTCAGACTCTTGCTTCCAGCTCCAGAAACATCAGGTCTCCATGAGCCTTTCTTCTCCTGACCTGCCAAAGGGTTAAGTAAATGCAAACACGAGCAAAGTCAGTGAAAGGAGATATTTCCTTCCCCTGGCGGATACACCTGATGCAGGAAGCAGACTCGTGCTCCGTGGGAATGAGAAGCTGGCCAGACTCAGGCTTCAAGAAGAAAATGAACGTCGCCTGGACACAAGATGGCTTAGCACTTCCCGGGGTAGTTTCTGAGAGCTACTGAACCGCCTGCGGCCCCATCTGTTTTCAATCTTCTTAAAAGGGCCTCGTGTGCTGGCGCCTCTTTAAAATAATGCACACATGGAGTTTCTAAAATGCAGCAGAAAAAAGGCCCAAGCTTTCCCTGCCGGCACAGCTTATGTGTTTATTTTGGAGCAGGCTTTGGGAGTTCTAGACCAGACCTAGCTAATTTCTCTTCCTGAGGTTGACTTGAAGTCCCCACAGACTTCTGCTCCAAGCATTTAAAGCAGCCAGGGATGAACTGATCACCCCTTGCAAAGTCCACTGTAAAATATCAGCAAACGAAGGGCACACTCAGGACAGGGGAAGCCCACAGCAGCCTCACTCCTCTCAAAAGAGTAGTCTCTGGATTCCTTCCCCTCAACAGGGATGCTTGTGTCCAAAGGTCAAGCTCCTTTCCTCGATGCGCATTCTCTTCCTGAGCACCCAAGAGAGCATGGCCAGAGAGCAGAGGCAGTGGGAACCAAGTCCCCAAAGGAGGGCCACCAGGGGCAGGGTAAGGCACAGGTCCAGAAGCTAAGGCCAAGGCAGAGCAGGCAGGCCTGCTGGGCCCCCTCCAGCATCAGCCCTCGACACAAGGCCGCTCCCCTGTTCCGGCATCAAGAGCAGGAAGGGGTCATGTGTGTACTGTTCTGGTTCAGATAGCTCACTCCCTCAGATCACACAACCTCAACAACTATGTCCCAGAGGGGACTTCGTAATAGCCTTCCGGACGCGGAGCAGGAAGTGTGGAGAGGATGCTGGAGAGCGGCCTGTGTGTTCAAGCGGCCCAGGGGCACCCGGGTGCCACATCTGCCCGTCACACCGCTCCACGCACAGGGCCACCTGACACAGTTTTCGCGTGGCAGCAGCAATGCCCACGTGACAGTGGCATCAGTTATCAGCAGGGATGGCAGTCAGATCAGAAAAGCCATGGCAGTGGCCAGTGGAGGAGGCCTGAGGTCTTGGAGAAGCAGAGACAGCAGTTGAGGGGGGGGTCAGTAGCAAGGCTAGGAGGGACAGGCCACAGGGGTCTGGATCGGCTACAGTCTCCCCGCAGAGCACATTTATAATTTAGTACTATAAAATATATTTGCAGTAGGGATTAAAAAGTTGGGGTACATATACTCAATGGAATATTACTGAGCCATCAAAAAGATAAACACATGCCTTTGCAGCAACATGGATGGAGCTGAAAAAGATCATGCTTAGTGAAATAAGCCAGAAAGAAAAGGAAAAATACTGGATGGTTTCACTCATAGCAGGAGTATAACAGACCAGGCGAGAAAATAATAATAATGAACAGCTGTATACCAGAGACATTTTATGGGGTGGAGTGGGGAATGGGATCAAAAAAAGTGGGGAGAGGGAAATGCACTGGACTATGCACAGGGTGATTTGGTGATGGGAAGCCCACGGGGATTGCAACTGAGATGGAAAAATGCATAAAATGATGTACAAATAAACTATTATATTATTTTAAAAAATATATATGTATATATATTTTTTAAATAATATAATAGTATAATATATGTATTATGTACATACACAAACACACATTTGCATTTGCAGTGGGACTGAATGGTATACTCGTTCGTTAAGCACAGACATGTGCTGGGCACTGTTTCAGCATCAATTCTTACGGGGTCCCTGTCAGGCAGATCCTACCGCTCTGATGCCCACTTCATAGCTGGGCACAATGACACTGAGAACATACTTGGTCCCCCACTCAACTATGGCTCCGGTTGGGGTCATTCAGCTTTATAAAGTGTAACCGTGATGCATATTTGGTGAACCCATGCCTCGAATTTTCTCTGCCTGCATGAGTCACGTGTGACCGCACCGTCGCTCGCGGCCGGGCAGCCCCAGCCAGCCCAGCCATCACCAGAGAAGTGACCATACGCTCCAGACCCTTCTTACTTTAGACACTGTCAGGACAGTCCTCGCTGAGTATAAGGGAGGCTGCGTGTTACACGATTTCCCCCACCATAGACGAACGAAGGTGCTGAGTGAGTTTAAGGTGGAGGAGGTGGAGCTGTGAGCGCGTTTTTGCTTTATGGTATTTTGAACCTATGACGGTAACAGACCAAGTCTGCAAATACCAACGGTCTGGCTTCAGGGTCCCTGCAATTAACGGCACCTCGGGCTGGGCTCCCCCTAACTCAAGGCAAATCCAGTCCAAGAGAGCAGCAGGCCCTGTGGTCTCAGCAGATAAGAGAATTCCTACTGAAGAAGCGCCGAAGGAGGGGGCCGCCAACACTTTTGTGGGGAGTCTCAAAGAATGGGGGGGCCTTTCAGGCCTGCATCACACAGAAGAGTAATTTTTATTTTGCTTACATTTGGGGTTTTATATAACATCTAGTTGGAAACAAAAAGTTCTGTTTGTGCAGGACTTGTTCCAAAGCAGCAGTGTGGGGATGCCACACTGTGTTACTAACACACACGTCTTATCTTCTGGATTTCCAGGCCTCGACCTCCGGGAGCCTGCCTTTCCGCGTGGGCCAATTCTTAGACACAGCAAATGACCCAGCTCTCCAGGGCCCATGGCTCCCAGATGCAAGTCAAACACCCAGAGCCACCTTCATGGTCAAGGCGGCCCAGCCAGGCCACGATGCCCCTCCCCACCTCAGGGCAGGTGGCAGATATCAGCCGCAGCTCCTGCCCTCCCAGAGGAGCAGAAATGATTCAAGTAAGCCCACCCTACACCTTCCACCCTGCCCAAGGAGCGCCGGAGGGGGGCTGAGTGTCCCTCAGTCCCCCATGCTCTGGCCCGCCTTGGTGCGGTCCATGGGCCGCCCGCAAAGAGGAAGGCCTTGCCTCCTGCAGTTAGGGGCCCACGGGGTAAGACCCCTCTCCCTTCATGGCAGTCATCTCCAGGCTTAGGTATCTTTCCATGCCCCGTGGAAACAAGTCCTAAGTGGCTCACGCCCGGCAGGTTGTGGCTGGCCTGGGGCTTCTGCTGGGCGGTGGGGCACAGGCCAGGGACCTGAAATGTCAGGTGACTCATCTCCTTGTGATTTTTCCTAACCTTGACTTGCAGACTTCTGCAGCGTCAAGAGGGACCCGCTTTCCAGGCCCCCATTCTGTTCTCGGGGCTGCCTAGAGGGAGGGTCCTAGGGGAATAGCAAACACTTCTGCCTCGATGTCCTTGCGGCAGCATGAGGGACAAGACCCGGCCCAGGGTCTGTGCCAGGCCGCTGTGATGACCGACAGGAGAAGCCGGCAGCGGTTCTTCCTCGTGCTCTGGGAAGCCCATGCCATCAAGTAGAAGCACCTCCTGATCTTAGGGTGCCACAGGATTTGGGGGTGCTGCAGAGACCTTGACACAAAGGGGACAGGTAATCTGTGAGTTGTGTCCCTCTGGGACAGTCCTTGTCTGCTTGGCATGGCTGACACGCGAGCTGGACTGTTCTCTGTGGGGTGGGCATCCGATGCAGTGCACCCAGCCTCCCACACACCTGACCACGGGCACAGATGCCAGCCGTGTCCCTTGCTGGGATGAACAGAACTGTCTGCAGGCATCACTGAAAGTTGCCTGAGTCAAAACTGCCCCTGGTTAGCCTAGTATCACTGACAAAGAAGGGTGTTAAACTCTATCTTCCTGACCCCCTTTCGCTCGTCCCTTTCTGTCCCCTCTCCTCTCCTTCCAGTGATACTCAACAGCTTGCAACCCCAGGAAGCCTGTGGAACACCAGTTTCTAAGGGTATGATCAGAAAACAA